CCCCCCCCTTCCGGAACACTTGGTCTTATTCTCCTAATTTTATCGATTATGAGTTCGATCTACGGTTTTGTTAACCTTCAGTTTTTGTGATTTGAGGAGAATTTTTCAAACCACGCCCCTTCACTTCCAAAATATTCTGTGTTGATCTTGTCAAATTTAATCTGCGAAACGTTAATTTCTATTTATTGGATTTCGTTGTTGTGGCTGTTAGTTATATGTCACAGATGATATCTGAATGCAGTCGCCATTGCAGACTCTACAGCCGTCATCAGCCAGATTCACCTTTCTCTGGACATTTCTTTTCCCTGCTCTAAAAGGTAATCATGGTGGCATGTAAACACTGATCGGTCAAATCATACGTCTGTGGATAGCTTCCGGTTTCGCTCTGATCTTTTCCAGCATCGTGATATTTTGTTGTCTTCCATAATATCTGAGATTTCTTATTTCCTGTTCCTGTGCTCAGTCACTGTTGTCTTATTCTCCTTGTATTTTCTCCATGTAAATGGGTTTTTTTCGTTTTCTGTCAGAGTTTCATTGAATCTAAGTTCGAATCGCAGTTTTTATCATACTTTGACATCCCCCTGGTTTTTTTATCGCTATTTCTCTCTTTATTTCTGATCTAATTCCAATAAGGCGGCCAATTTGAACATCGACTGTTATCAATTGTTTCCCCTAACTATGGTTAAAGATCAAATGTCACTATCTGAAAACGTGTATTTCTGTTGACAATGATTTGGAAGATCTAGGTTTATGCGTGCAGTTCTAAGAATATGGTTTAGTAGAACATCTTCATAGTCGCCCTGTATCGTTGTTGCTCTTTCCATATTGCTGATATTACCGATCTAAAGACAGCTCTTGAAACTTGATCATGCATCTATCATATTAGTGGTATTGCAGATCGGTGCAATCCGGCAGTAGCAGGTTGTCCTGGTTAATGGGAAGATTGGGATCTCTATGAGACCCGCTCTGTGGAGGTTCGGCAACAGTTACAGCACTGATTTAAGGTGTATCATAGCAGGTCGTATACTATTCTAAGAAACTGTGTCTATTGTGAAGGTTTGTTTTAAGTTGGTAACAGGTCGTATACTGATCTCAGGGGGAACTGGATCATCGGTGTGAAGGTTTGTTTTAAGTTGGTAACAGGTCGTATACTGATCTCAGGGGGAACTGGATCATCGATGTGGAGGCATGTTGAAGTCAGTGACAGGTCGTATATTGACCTCATTGGGAACTCAATCCTCTGTAGAGGTATGCTTTAGTCGGTTACAAGTGCTACCTAAGCCATCCTCGATATCCAGGTGTTACGCTCACCTGTGCTCTTTGTACCCATGGAATATGTCATAACAAAATTGAAGGTTCAGTGTGCGCCACCTTGTGGATGAGACCAGAAGATTAGTTTGATCCTTTGATGTACATCAAAAGAATCCCGCAGTGGGATAACGATGAAAATTTACTAAGTTTGAAGTCAGGTGTCGCCCCTTGGTAACTTTCAAAGAATAGATATCAGTCTAGCGATTGGTCAGGTTTTTTTTTTACCCGAGACCAATTGAACAGCTGTATTTGTGTCTTCAATTCTACTATGACATATTCCAGGGGTGCAGAGAGCGTAGGTGACCGTAACACGTGGATATCGACGATGTACGTAAGGAAGATATGGATCCAGGGCTGCCACATTATGCTACGATAACATGTTTATATCTGTTTCCTTTTCACTGCGTCCACCTTGTGATTCCTTCTTTACTGTCTCGGAGTTCTTCCTCAATTTTCATGACATCTATAAACGGTGACTGTTGCTCTCCGGCTTTGCATACACGTGTGATCCCCAACCTTGTGCTGATATAGACTTTCTTTCTGCTTCTTACATTTCTGGTCTAGATATTAAGTTTGATAAGCATACCAGTCATTAACGCCATAGACTTCCATAAAGAATATTTTCATAAAAATATAAAATTGATGACTTAAGTTGTACTTATTAGGATTCAATACAAGAAACCCAATAAAATGTATTAAAATATGTTAACGGCTCTTAATAATATCATATTTGAAAATTTACAGTAATTATCCGTCGAGTCTCTCACTTCAATCTGTTGCCTTGCCTAATTAGCCACTTAAACCCTTCAGCCAGTGAAGAAGCTAGAACTACATTCTGTACAGACACTTGTGTTTCTATCAAAATTGTGTGTATAAAACCTTATGCAATACGTCGTCAGGTCACAGCTCCCATAACACCCGAAAAAGTGGTTTGACGTACAATAGTTTTTCAAAAATCAGTGGTGTGTCTGTTTGTCTTAATTTCATCAATAAAATGCAAGTAAACAGGTTTTTTTAATATGCAATAAGATTGCAGGCAAGATACATATAAATATGTTAGCGATAAGTTCGGCCTAATGACGCACAGCCTATAGAAAAAATATTATTTAATATGGTATTTTATATTTATTATTATTATCATTATTATTTTTAATTTATTTTTTACAGTTAATCAATTGGATATGTTCTAGGGGTGACGTTATCATTTGACGATTTCGCGTGATTATTTCGTGAATTGCTTTTAACTTCAAGTAAACCACAATCAACTGTAGGACAAAGACACGTGACGGGAAGAGAAGGGATGAATATGGGAGACACGAAATAAGCATGGGGTGGGAAGCGTTACATTCCAAAGCAACAATAAAACAATGAAGGCATGCAGAGACAAGAGACGGGTGGACTTAAAATGTCATGCCAAATTATTTACCAGTTATTCCCATGTGGAATATAAAACAATTTTTTCTGACTTCGGGTTTTTTTTTAATAAAAAACGTATTCGTCGAATTTCCTCTGATTTCATTTGATGATATTTTCACAATTATATCCGTTTTTAGTATCTCAAATACAACATTTAACGGAACGGGCGGACATTTCTAAGATTCCAGAATAAACACATACTAGAAATAGCGTACGTAGGCTAAATGTGAAATATGTTTGACGATTCCGGTGATGTGAAACAAAATCATTTAAATAGGGCATGTTGTTAGCATGTCTAAAATTTGCTTGAACTGTCGACTTTTCCGAAAGACATCGTACCAAGGGGCATTCGAATTAACTTTATCCATTGTAATAAAGAAGATTTTTTTTCTGCACGAGTAGTAAAATTATGGAACAGTCTTCCAGAGGATGTGATAGTCAACACTATCGATAAATACATTTAAAATCAGACTCGATCAACACTGGATTGATGAGGACAAAAATATAATTACAGAGCGAAACATACTGTGTTAGACTTGGCATGGACGAGTTGCGCAACATTATCATGACCTCGCAATCGAAGTCCTGAGAGCTTGATCCACTGCCTACAGACCTATTAAAGCAATGTCTTGAAGCACTGCTTCCTTTGATTACCGCAATCATGAACAAATCATTGGTTGAGTCAAAGGTTCCATTATGTTTCAAGAAGGCACATATCAGACCATTGTTAAAAAAGCCTGGAATGGACAAGGAGGAGTTGAAAAACTACCGCCCAGTTTCTAATCTGCCTTTTCTGTCTAAGATCATGGAGAAGGTTGTGTCCCGGCGTTTAGAGGTTCATCTCCATGCAAACAGTCTCCATGACAACATGCAATCGGCCTACCGCATGGGACACTCTACTGAGACGGCCCTCCTACGTGTCCATAGTGATATAGCTTCTGCATTGGATACCAAGTGCAGAGCGGTGCTTGTCATGTTGGACTTGTCAGCTGCATTTGACGTCATCGACCATGGCATCCTTTATAAACGTCTGGAATACTCTTATGGAGTGACTGATACCGCACTATGCTGGATAAAGTCATAGCCATCGGATCTGCCACCGCACATGACAAAGTACTAGATTTCGGGGTTCCTCAAGGGTCGGTGTTAGGACCACGAAAATATTGTATGTACTCCAAACCGAATGGAGAGATTTGTCGTCGCCATAGCCTTCGCTATCATTGCTATACCGATGACACACAAATTTACATGGTAATAAAACCACAGGACAGTTGGAATACAGTCTCAGAAAGTCTGGAAGCTTGTCTGACAGATATCAGTATCTGGATGAACGCCAACATGCTTAAACTTAATCAGGAAAAGACGGAACTAATCGTCTTTTCCCCAAAGTGTCAGCAAACAATGGCTCTCCAGCATGCAAGATTTTGGTGCATTCACTTGTTACCTCTCGGTTGGATTATGGTAACGCCATGCTCTGTGGTATATCTGACAAACTAACTAGTCGTCTGCAGAGGGTCCAGAAAGTTGCAGCACGGCTAGTTGCTCGTACTCGAAAGAGAGAGCACATCACACCTGCGCTTTATTCGTTGCACTGGTTACCTGTACGATACAGGTCGCAGGACAAAATTATGGTATACACATACAAGGCACTGAATGGAACAGCTCCTCAGTACCTACAGGAACTTGTTACCCTGTATCAGCCGACAAGATCACTGCGGTCGGAGTCAGAATCTTTGTTGTGTGTCCCAAAATCTTGTATTGTGATCTACGGAAACATATGCTTTGGGAGGGTTTCGGCTACGTTGTGGAATAGCTTACCATCTGCTGTTAGGAAGTCAAATACCCTGGACAAGTTCAAGAGGGACATAAAAACTCACCTCTTCACGTCGGCATTTTAGAATCTTTGCAAAGACGTCATGTAAATACCACCCTTTTTTTTGTTCAATTATGTGCATATTGCTTGTTAAATGTATGAAAGTGATTGCAAGCCTTTGTTGTTTGTTTTCACAATTATAACCATTACTATTATCCATATGTTGTAAAGCGCCTTAGAGTAATTTTACAAATTATATAGGGCGCTATATAAATGTTGTATATTATTATTATTATAACCGAAATGTGATATATATGTACATGACTACATGTATGGGGGGGGGGGGTCTTTTTTTTAACTGTTGGGGTCCAGTGTAGAGGATCTTTAGATACGGATTTGCAAACTTAACATCATCCTTAACTTTCACTAAACTTCAACTTTATTTTGTGACACCGGCCCCGGATGTGGTATTCACGTTCTAAGTTAGGTGCACTCTGGACACTAAGGCCCCTTTCGCGTATCAAGTTCAATCTGTTTGTCTGTGTTTGAATGTAACATTTCGGGTATAAATCCTGGCAAACCTGCGAGTGTTTACGAAGGCCTTGCAAGGCTTTGTCAAGGCTCGCCTGAAAGTAGCAACAGATTACTAGGTCCGACCTTAGTTCATAAACGAACAACTCTGGTCCAACCGGTTCAACTGTTTGGATTGACTATGTTAAGCTGTACAGTGGTCTGGTACATCATGTGGATTTCGAAGCGTACCAAACGCAATAAGATTGCGCTATTTGTTGAATTTTCTGTATTTTTTTCATCCATTAAATTTTAATTCATAACGACAACCACGGACTTAATCTTATATTCCGTGCGACAACAAATAATTCTCAAAATTAAGGAAATTCAGCAGGAACCCATCAATTCAAATGGAGATAAATATTTTACCTAAAGGAAAATATAAAAAGTGTGCATCCAATTCCAAAGTTTATAGACAAAAATACAAGTAAGTTTACGAAGCTGATTTGTGTTCACGGCAAGTGTTCCAAGGGAGGTCACTCGAACAGACGTGCATGTGTGTGGGAGAGGGGAGATAAGTCTGGGTAAGAAAATGTTTATGGCGAATACGCTGGTTTAATCAAAGAATTGTGCAGTAAAACTATTTAACAAGACAATTAAATAATAACAAGATACTTTTACATTAGCTATCAATGATGGGAGTTATGTGAGATTTTTAAATTATGATAATTTTCTCCGTGGTTAGTCCCTTTAAAGCGTTCCTTTGATGCAGATCAATATAAGTAGTGTAATACAGTGCACTTTGTATCCGGAAAGCAATCTTTCATAAAATTTCTGAAACAACACATTATTTTGCTAACTTTCACTTATATTGTTTAAATTATTCGTTAATAAAAAATATCTTACTCTCTGCAATAGAAGTATTTTATGCCATTTTTTGGTCATTACAAAAATGTTTATCCGGATATTATTTCAGCTATTTGTTTTATATTTTACTTATGTATTGTTTACGAAATTGTAGAAAACCCCTCACGTGTTTGCTGTCGCCACGATGCTACTGATGCAACTTTTTATCAGAAATAGAAAATCACAAAACTTGGTAAGTAGGATAGGTGTCAGTGACAGTAGTTTGTACTACCTGTAAATTTACATTTACGGCGATACTGCAAAGGGCCGTCGAACAGCATCAACTTGCAGGTAGACTTGTGTGGCATGGCTTCCACATAAGTTCGTTAAAAACAGGTTAAATCCAATCACCAACAGGGGTTCGTTACAAATATATGGAATACACATAATGCTATACTAAGTTTCCTCTGGTCCTGACACCATTTTGACAGACAGAAATCTATCTGTCAAAATGTCTACGTCTGGTATTAGGGCAAGAGGAATCTCGGGCTAACAGCACCCCTTCCGTTAATTCCTGTAGGAACTCTATCTAAATCAGAGATTTATAACGATAGAGTTTCTATCGTTATAAATCTCTGGTTTAGATAGAGTTCCTACAGGAATTACTCTTCCCTACCTTCTGTTTCTGCCTGGTAATAGCCTCCTTCAACAGGTTGAAGATTCTGCTATGTTCGTAGGTGGTGTGCATGGTGCTGGACTGAAGTCGAAAGGTTAAAAGTTATTAAAAACTGGATAAAAACAAAGGACCTCAGAGTTTTGACGCACTGGCCTTGAAGGCGTCCAGTGTGTTGGCGAGGGTGATGTCTGGCGGGAGGGCGTTCCAGTCTCACCGTCCTGGGGAAGAAGGACATCTTCTTTGTGTCGATCCTGCTGGTATGATCTGGCATGGACAGATCTACCGAGTCTGCGAGGTAAAAGCAGCCTACCGCCTTTACATATCGCAACTAGGCCTCGGTCGATCCTGTACAACATAGCCAGGCAAGCATCATGGCGTCTTTTCTCGAGTGATCTCCACACAAGTACATTGAGCATGCTGGAGACACTAGAGGTGTTTCTGTGGCAGCAGGTCACGTACCGCACTGCTCTTCTCTGTATTTGCTCGATTTGATTGATGTTCACCTTGGTGTGGGGGTCCCAAACAGTGCAGGCATACTCCAGGAGGGGTCTAACCAGCGCGAAGTATGCCATAGATTTTATCTTGGTAGAAGAGATCTGCAGGTTTCTACGCAGGAAGCCCAGCATCCTGTTTGCCTTGCCAACAATCTTCTGGATGTGTGTGTCCCACTTCAAGGTGTTTGATATGGTGACGCCAAGGTATACTGCTGACTGGACTTCTTGCAAGGAATGGCCGTGTAGGTGGTAATCAGTCTTAATTGGGTTTCTCTTGTTGGTGCACTTGTCCGGGTGGAACTTCATACACCAATGATCCTCCCAACACCCCAGCTTGTTTAGATCCTCCTGTAGGGTCGTACCGCTGTTTTCTGAGGTAATGGTGAGGTAGGCAATAGTGTCGGCAAACAACCGGACAGTAGACGTTAGATTGTCGTGCAGGTCGTTGATATAGAATAGGAAGAGGCTTGGTCCGAGGACTGATCCCTGCGGGACACCGGAGTCGACGCTCACTGATGTAGACCTCTCTCCTTCTACGACGACTGACTGTGAACGTCCTAAGAGCCAGTTCTGGATCCATGTATTGATCCTGCCTCGGATGCTGTACTCATGGAGCTTATGGACGAGTAGGCTGTGATTAACCTTGTCGAAGGCCTTGGCGAAATCCATGATAAGGACATCCGTCAATGTGGACCTAAACATGTTAGGTGTGCTGTGACCTAAACGTGTTGGGTGTGCTGTGACCCATATGAGTATAGTATATATTGGTGGTTTTTTTATACGTTTAGGTCACAGGGACCTGAACATTTGTAAGGTGTTCGGAGTAATTTTACATGTTTTAGGGGTTTATATCGACTTTCGGTAAAAATGACACCCCAATGATCATACTTATGAGAAGGGCGGAAAGCTCTCGATGTCAAAAAGTCGACCCCATCTAACTTTCTTGCATCAAAAACATATCTAGTTGATCTATGGGAAAATGCTTAGTACCCTTGTAAAGATGGATAATTTTTCTTTTAAAAACCTCCTATATATATGATCATTGGGGGTGCCATTTTTACCAAAAGTCGATCTAAACCCCTAAAACATGTAAAATTACTCTGAACACTTTACCTTAGGTCCCAATATAGCTGTAACAAATTCTCAGGTGAGGTCCCTGTGGTTTAGGTGGGCTGTGACCCATATCAGTATAGCATATATGTGTATTTTAGACATTTGTAATGACCCCCTGTGTTCCAACACATGTTTATGTACAGGAAACTCCTGAACAAGATGGCAAAATATTATAGAAGGACATATGAATGCTTTGTTCTATTAAATAGCAAGAGCATGTACATTTGTATTCCAGAATCTGTGTAATCACATTGCACTTTCTGCCGAAGCTTTGCTTTCTCATGTCTTTATCAAATGTGCTGTGTATGGGTATGGGATCACAGAGGTTGGACACAAAAACATAAATAAAGTGATATCATCTAAATGTATTTTTTTGTGTCTAGCACCTTAATTCCTACCGTTAGTAAAATCTCCGATTAAGACAGAGTTCCCACAGGAATTACCAGCACCTGTGTTGTGTGTGATCTTCCAGCTAGTTTCTATTTATTATATATATTGCATTATATGATGTCATTCTACAGTATATCTGTGAAATAAACAGATAAAGGTTTCTATATAAAGTAGATACTGTTTGCAATATATGTACCATAACAAATCAAGTAGCAGTTACATGTACTAGTATCACATTTTAGTCTTTCAAACATAATAGGATAGATCTATATATATATATATATATGGGGCAAAGAAGTAATTCCAACAGTGTGGACAAGTTTAGGTGTATATATATATATATATATATAGTGTAATTTGATAACAGGAGAATCAAACACTGTTAGTGACATCCAGGTCGTTAGTGTACAAATCAGAGTAAGTATAAAGACTTTCTAGAACAAATTGTAAACAGACTAACAACTAAATATATTACGAAACATTTTGATACTCAGTAGCTTGAATCATCAGTGCAAGTGCCCAATATATTTTGAAGTACTGAAAAGACATAGAAATGCTGAAACCTGTAGTAAAAAATTGGAAACATGTCGGTACAGATACTACCAAGTACTGTAATGTCTGAAATTTATGTAGCTCACAATTGTTCATATATATAAATAATTGGTACATTGTATCATTTTAAAAGATACTAAATGATCCTGTCTATAATTATTTCCAATTATTTGAACATAAATTGTATCAAGGTATTGTCAATTCTTTTCAAAAGAGTTTTACTTTTAACTTGCTTTTAATACAAGTTTAATATCTGCTTATGTGACATGTACAGATGTCACTTTAGAGAGTATAATAATTTGTTTTCAATGATGTTTTCAGAATAAAAATAAATGAACTATTAAGGGAAATATAACAATTTTAATACAAAGGTTAACGCCACACTTTAGTTTTCTGGAAATTTCAATTCTCAGGTAGTTTTTTCAAAACATTGAATCCTTTCAGTTTGTTCTTCCCTATTTTATGCAAATTGAATTGAGTGATTGTTTTGTACAGCATGTCCATCATGTTATGAGAAACCACCTATCCTTAGAAATCAGTCCCACCCCTTGAAACCTGGCTTCATTTGTCATGAAATGTATGTTTTTTTCCCCTTTTACATCACCCTTAAAGATTTGATGGGGTAAAATGCTATATACATACAGAGAACAATTAACTGATTTTTGAAAGAATTCCAGATGTGGAAATTTATTTTTGCACAGTAACCTGATTGAGACTGGGAGTATATTGTGTTGCTATGGGAGTATATTGTGTTGCTATGAGCTTTAACTTTTTTGTTACCCAATCAGAAAACAAGTCAACATGCAGTCCGCACTGCACAATTAACAAGTCAAATGGCATGAGGGAAATGCAAAAGTTTGCGATGGAAATCCGAAAATGATTTTAAACAGTTCTTGTCTCTATTGAGGGATTGTTTTCATGTATCACCCTTGTTTAACAGTAGTACAGTATTAGTAAGGGGTGAATATATATACCAAACCCTTTTTTTGTAATGTGTGTAAATGGTTGTGCTGGTGAAATATGTTCTCTCTAACATTGAGTTATATTATCTTATGTTTATCAGAGTAGGTAATATAGCGTGTATGTAACATCTGTCAATAAACAACATGTTTATAACGTCTGTTGTAGATGTTTAAACCCCCTGATCAATCTAACAGACTGGTGCTACTCCTAACATTGATTCCCTATCTAACAGCAGCTCTCCAAGATTTGTCAACTCCTATTTTCAAATTATGTAATGTATTTGTAAAAGAAAACTTAAATAAAGTCATGTTATTTTAAGATTACATATCAAACTAACAATGTTGATCAAGTGACCCACTGCACATGCCATAGTCACTTATAATAACACAACAAATAATAGTGTGTATAGTACGTAAAGTTTCAGTTAAGCTAACCAGACTTTTTACCAAGACTTAGACAATCACTCTGGACTACAGTACCCTATGGCTGATTGATTTGTTATCATTTTTCCCGTCTGAATTAAATCCCTGGTTATGTCATCATATTTGTCTATCAACTTTGATGACATCACCAATATTTGGGGTCTATTCTGTGGCAAAGTTTAACTATTTCTTTTATTCACAAGGCAACAGAAATATGTTTAAACTTGAGGATTAAGAAAGATTTAAAACAAATATAAACTGCCATGCGGTGACCATTTGTCAATTGGTTTGATGTCTGATAAATGCTTGATTGAATTCCAGATTGATATAGAGTATTACCATTGTATATGTTGAGGGGACCACAGTCCCGCTATAGCTGAGCTGGTCACACAGCAATAGGAGTTCGGGGTTTGGGGTTCAAATAATTTTCCTTTTTATTTTGAATGGAAACTTGAATCTATAGTAGATCAATGTGATAGATTCACTGATTTGTGGAAAAAAGTAACATCTGCTGCTTTATACAGTCTAACTGTTTTGTGTCTTCAATATGACAGGAGGAAATCCTTGTGTAGAGATACCCTGTAGAGTACTGTAAACAGAGACTGTATGTATCTATAATATTACATACAGACATAGACTTTGG